AAATTCTTCTTCATAGTGTACACAGTGCTTAGACAGGATTGTGTACACGTGCTGAGGAGGCAAGTCACCAGCCTAGCTATTTCCCTTCTACTGCGGGTCTCGTCGGCAGAAAGGCTGCTCAAAAAGCCGGTGCTGCCCAAGCGACTCTTTCTCATCTAAATATCACGGCATCAGTTGCAATTATAAATTTGACTGCTGTTTTATAGATGCTATTTTCCAGGCAATCGGGAAAATGGTGTCTTTGCATAAAGTTCATTCAGGAAAATAAACTATCTTGTAAAAGTTACTTTCTCTGTTCTTCCATCCCTTCACATGTTTTGAGCAGTCAGAAACTGGCAATAACCTGGTGTTTAAGGCCTGCCTACAGCTTTAGTTCAAACTAAACAGCTGACAGTTTTGTGGCAAGAAATGGAACTTGTTTCCTTTTCTGAGATAATTTTTTCTCCTTTTCTTTTTTTTCCCATCTTTCTTTTGGTGAATGTCTTTAGCTAAATGCAGCCAGCTACAAGGCTGAACTGTTTTCTTCCCTTAAATTAGCGAGGAGGTTTCCAGCGTTCATCCTAACACAGGTTCCAGTGGGTACCAGTAGCTGCAGACCAGGCTTTCCCTGTCAACAGCAACCTACTTGGGAAGACCTCATTTATATGTAAAATGTTAAGTACCTTACCCGTATTTTTACACAATTTTTAGTATCTCTTAAGACCAGGGCTCACAACATCTTCATTCAGTTTTCTGAACTTCTCCATCCCCTGCAGTTATCTAGCAATTTGGTTTTAATATTCATTCCATAAAGAAGTGACACTAATTCTCTCGTTAATCTTCTCTTCTCTTTCAGCAGCCAAGATCTAGGAAAGTCACTTCCCATTGATCAGTAGCTTTTAATACAAAAACACAGGTTACACTGCACAGATGTCACACTATAGGCAGAAGTGTTAATTGCATTTGAAGATGATGATCTTTCTCAGCAAATTGGATCAGTGAGGTGCCAGCAAGGACCTGGGCAATCATTCTCAAAAGCATACGGATCCAAACCCTAATGCATTTCACAATATATTATGTAGCAAATATAAGGTCTGTTAAAACACGTTATTAAAGCCACCGAGGCTGCTAATTTCAGGGCACTTCAACGCAGCCAGCAGGAAAAAAAAGCAGGAAGGGCTGCACATAAAAGCTGTCAGTGTTTTGGAATCAAGGGTATAAAAAAAAAACCAGCCTTAAAAGAGTAAATAAGTTATTGCATAGACCTTCCATCTTCCAAATTAAAAAGACAAGAGAAAATGAATGCCCTAGAGACTTACCATATCGTGGTCTGAAACAGGCCCAAAACTGGTGACGAAGATGTCAGTCTTCACCTCGGTTACGCGCTCTGATGAAGCAGGAAATTAGGACAGTCAGTGTCTATCAACAGTCTTCATTAGACCCCCCCACCACCAACTCTCACAGTAAACAGAAAAATTACTGGCTTTGATTAGCCATTCTAAAATTGGTCTACAGTACGGTCCCGATAATTTATTGCTTCTAGATGTAATTTCACAGTCAATATTGTCAGCAGCATGTTTTTTTTTATTGCAGTGTTTCACAGAACTTCGTGAGACGTGGCTTGTGATGCCACAGTACAGCAGCCCTAGCTGCACTGGTGAGTAAATCTGTTCACTCTTTGGCTAAGAAATCTTCTTGTCTGACAACACAAACAGTGCTGAATATTTTACACAGTAATCGGAAGTCTCATTGGGTACTCAGTATTCCTGGGCAAGCTGAATAATTAACCCTGGGCTTACAAATGATGTGTTTTGTATTGAGACGCAGGAACGCAGAAGAAAGAGAGAGAGAGAATACATTACGGTGTATAAAAACATGAAGATATTTTATTTGCAAGAGTTAGAAATGGCTGCATTTCCCTTAGCTGCAATAAACACAGAGGAGTTAAAACTTTTCCAAATAAATATCAGCTAAACTTCTCTACTACAATTTTTGACTTGTGCATAAATGTTCTAGTTTGTCAATGGTTTAGATTTCTTTTTAAATTGATATGGGCACTAACAGTAGATTTCCCTTAAACTACCAAGCTTGTTTTATAGGCCTCAGTGATAGATCAGTATAAATAATAATTCAGAAATCTATAACTTGTACATGGCACGGATTCTCTGTACGTGCTATACCACAGGGCCAGACTTCTCTGTGGTCTCAAGGATCTACGTCTGCTCCAGGGCACAACGCCCTCGGCCACTTCAGAGGAATTTAACAATTTTAGTGCTGACGAAGGCTGAGTCTGAGCCGCCTGGAACGGGGCTCTTCTCCGGACAGCGCCAAGCTCCTGCCGATCTCCCGTCCAAAGGCGCGCTGCGGGACGCGCGAGCCTACCTCCCCCCTTCCTCTCCGCAGCCCCCCGTGTCAGCCCCTTCTCAGCACACCGCTCCGTGCTAGGCCACACATCGCAAAATATCACCCGGGGCAGCAGGTACCATCACAACTCTGCTGATTTCAGTGGAGCTGCCGGGAGTACCACCCCCCGGAGACGTGAGTCCGAGCGGTCTCGAGCGGAGCGAACCCCCCCCGCTCTCAGAATTCACGGAGACGTCGGTCCGAGCACAGCTGCTACAGTGCCACACACGCCAGCGTGGGGCTTTTGGTAGAAACTTCCAAGGTGGAAGGAGAGACACATTTCTCAAATCACTTTCAAAAAAGAAATACGTGGAGAAATTTGGAATACTGACAGTAATCCTAAAGAAAAGAGGCTAACCGAAAAGTACGTGTATAATAAGCAACAGTCATGCAGCAGGCAACAATTTTTTTAAGACTAAGAAATGTAAATTTGTATATCTAGTAGCTATATGTATAATGTTATTTAAATATTGTGAAATAATTATATTTAAAAAGTAATTGAATACAACCCTCTGATTTCAAAAGACTTTGGACTGTTTAAATATGATTTCTCCCCTCTGACAAGAAAGTTCTGACAGAAGAGAAGTGAAATAAGGAATCGAGGTTAAGCAGCCAGTAACAACGTACATTTCTGTATCTATCTGATGCAAAAGTTCTAATGAGAATCAGCCTTCTAAAATGCACATACAGGTTTTTCACTTTCATTCAAAAATAGCCTACAACTTCAAAACAAAGATAAATGTACACAGTTTAATATAAACGTTTAGTATATATACAATATCTCCTTTTGTGAGACAGCAATAATTAAGATGAAATATTCGATCTGATCCTTCTGTCATTCTAGTAACGCACTGAGCGACACTTGTGTTCTCTTAGCGACTTCATGCAAATGCAGGTGGTAGCAAAGGTGACCTCCAGGACTCATTGAAAAAGTCAAAGGATGAAATGTCCAATGTATGACCCATAATCACAGCAAGTAAAATACTACGATGTGGCTGAACTGCCTAATAATATTCTTTTTGTTGTTCATATCAGTGACTGAGGCGTGTACAAGCTACGGTGACTGCTGGCATCAGCAGTGGGTAGGTGAAATTGCCTCCTTGGCTGTCCAGTGACATTGACGTGTGACCTTATCACTGTTTACAAGCTTTACAACCGACTTGAAGCAATTTGAGTGTTTTCTTGACATCTAATTGGCTCTGAACTTAAAGAAGTTCACAGTGAGAATTTAACCTTCTATTACTGGAAGAAGCCTATGGTTGTCCAGAAATTACTTGGCTTGGAAAAAAAGGGTATTTTCTCCTTCAGCCCATCACCTTCACAAAGTTCCAGAGGCTGTGGTCTTGTGTGAGACCGCTGGCAGAAAAGGAAGATGGAGTTTTCAAAGGTCCAGTAAAACATTGCTGAGTGGATTCTTTGTGTTCCAGCTACTGAATCACCTTTCCTTAAAACTGAGTAACTAATATCATCACGAAACCTATTAGCCTTTTGCATACCGAAAAGTGGATCTCAAGTGACTCTTTAAAGATCTTTCATCCTGACTCCCCATCTCTCCACCTCCTTTCCACCGAGACACATCCAGTGGTGTCCTGAGGAGATGGACGATGCCAGGAGCTCTTCAGGCACAATGCGTTCCCCCCTCAGTGGTGTAAACTCCGAGTTCCAGCGCTGGGTGAGCCTCTGTTGAATACAACACAGCTAACCATGCTCTGTGAATCCGTGGCCTGTCGGGTGGTGGTATCCTGACTTCCAGTTTGGGGAGATGTGTGGTCACAGGACAGAGGCTGAGGCTTAAGGACATCACTTTGAGGGCACAAAATGGAAACCAAAAGCTTTGGCAGTAAGGTGGGAGGTTTCCAAGGGAGTGGAAAAAAGAGTGATGCCTTTCCTTTCTATATAACATTGCAGGGAATTTAAGTGGCATGTCAGTCATAAGTCATAACAGAAAATGCAGAGTATGAATTTACAAGAGATTGTGTTGTCTTCATACTGATTACACTTTTGTGGAGCATCTAATCCCAGGTTCCTTCAAATCCAGATAAAACCGCTGTACACACCACCAAACGATGGCTTTTCTCTTTGATATGTACCTCATTTTCCAGAGCGATGGAAAAGTGTGTCCGAACACACAGAAAACGATGAGCCCCTCCAAAGCCATATGGAAGTTTTGAAAATTCTGTTTACTGTTTTACTAATTAGATGATTCAACTGTGCTTTGTTGAGAGCTTCAGAAGTTGTGAGTCACTCCTGCACAGGACATGTGTTTACTCATACAGTTGGGATATATATTTAGAATCAAGGTTAACCATGTTCAGTTTGCAGCATGACTACCATGGCAAGGCTTAAATTGTGCTTCAGATGCTCAGAACGCATTTTTCAGGAACCTCGAATCCTGAGCTACACTGAAAACCTTCAGAATATCCCTAAGAACTAGAGAAAATTCTAAGTCATTGAACATAACCAGCTCAGGTCAGGAGCTGACCGGCCTGCTGAGGATAAACCCACCAGCTGCAAAGAGGTGTTAACCGCGCCTCTCGACTCTAACACCTATCTCACCAACCAGGAGTAGGTAACGTAGCGGTATCTGTACAACATGTAGCAATTCCAGTAAAAAAACCCAAGGAAATTATTAATGACTTGGTAGATTTACTGTAAGGCAGCCACAGGGTCCGAGCAGTTCCTGCTCAGCAAACCAGCCGCTGAGTAGCACTCCTCGACGCTCTGGACCACGGCCTCCGGGCCGCTGAGCCACGCGCAGCCACGCAGGGGAACTACTGTAAATTCACCGGTTACAACTACTGCGTTTTGCTAACGATGCTAGCCTAACACAAACTCGCAACATTAATAACAATAAATATTTTGATTTAAACTCCCAGGGAGCTCATTATTGCTAGAACAGTGATTGGATTACAAAGTGAGAACAAAACATGAAATACGGATTTATTTAAACAGCAGGAAATACGCCTATTTATCATAGGGAGCTATACATTAACTATTTCCCCTTCTGACCTGGTATTTGAGCGCAAGGCTTATTTGAATTGCATATTAATTAATTCCATCTGTTTGGTAATGCTCTTGTTCCTCCTCCATGTCTTGTGTCCGTGTGTGTAGAGAAGATTTTTCCTGTGGTTTTGAATGGAAGGAATTGAGATGCCTGCATAGCGTAGACTATTATTACTTTAAAAAGTTATGTAATCACCCTCGCTGCATCCTATGAAGTATTTTGATTGAAGAACCACAACAAACACACTCCTAAGAATTTTGTGCTGCTGCTGCTTTTGTAACAGCAGCGCCCGAGAGGGAGAACCGTGAGCTGTCCTGTGCCGACCCCGCTACAGCCTGTGTCGCCACGAAGGCTTTGCGAGAGCTGCGCAGCGTCACGGCAGCTCTCCCCACGCCAACTACCAGCTCAGAGCTGCTAACGGCCTCCCTACCTCCCCACTCTTGTGTTAAATCCATTTCCCTAGGGTCTTCCACGGCTCTTTACGGATGCCTTTACATCAATGCGGTGCCTACAGAGTGGAAACAAGACCAGCATTTGCCCTTTCAGTTCTTACAGAGTTAAGGACAGCATCTAGTCCTTCACTTGCAGAATCATGTGCAGGGGTCCAGGACAGGACTCTCGTTCCATTCAGAGCAGAAACATTTAGGTTTAATTTTTTATCACACATACAGGCCAAAACTGTATTTTCCCTAAACTTTAAGTTAGCTCAGAAATGAGTTCAAATGCAACAATTTCCATTTGGACCTCAATCACCAAGAAGTAAGTTTATCATACATTTAAAGATAATGTTCTGATAAAACTGAATTTGAAAACCTAATTAACATAATACTGTCAGGTTTATTTTCCATCAATTTAAATATAAGCGCTCTGTGGAAGTAATGAATTGCCTGAGATGGACTGACGCTCCACTTCAGGACAGTCACACTCCATTTTGATAAACATCACACAGGAGAGATCACCAAATAGCTTTTACTGATTGCAAAAACCAAGGGCGATTCTGTTCAGTACTGAAGTCATGTTGATAATCTGCTTGGGGTGATCTAATGGGGATCTGACCCAACTATAAAAGCAAATTTCATTTAAAAAGATCCCAGTCTGCCTAATCAAGCCCACTCTTGTTCTTCTCAGTTCTGTCTTAAGCAACCTTTCTACTACAAAATCCCTCTCAAAGGGACAAACCACACTTCCAGTGATGCCTGGTTAAAAGGTGACAGACCCCGTGATATCCTTTAGTTTCAGAGCGCGGATGTGTGCACGGCGAAGGTCTTAAAAAAAATGTGGCTGCACCTGATTTCCCCAGACGAAGTCACCCCAGAACGAAAGGCAGTGGCATATCCATTTATGTCAGGAACGCATTTTTTCCATTATTTTTCATCGCTTTTCAAGTCTATTAAACTCCTGCTCTAGATACAATGGTTTACCGTGAGCGGTCACCAAACACCGAGAAGGTGAATATTCTCCATACTTGACTCCTTCCGACCGCTACCTGATCCTCTATTTTGTTCTGGATTGTGTATTTGAAAAGAGAACAGCATCTCTATTAGTTCGCCTATTTTTGATCACCTGTAGTTCTAGGATCCAGATAGTTCCCACAGAAAATTGTGCTGTTGCCTAAATGACTTCACTGTTTATTTTTTTCCCCTAATGTCTAACATTGTTTCCTCTTTTTCAGCTTCAGTATATTACTCTCTGCAATTCCTCCTCCTTGCTTTTTGTAAATTATTATCCTCTCATAGAGTTAATAGGTGTCCTCTAGTGTGATTCAGAACGTTTCCACATTCATTTTGCAAGTCCTATTTTCCAGGCATAAATAACTGTAAATGTAGTTATTTGTCCATGTTGATGGATGGGTACAACAGATGTTATTTCCTAGCAATGTCTGACTAAGTGACTATGCCCACATATGAAGGAGGCAAACATCTAAATAACATAATTTATATCAATAATTATTGATAAGAGGTGCAAATGTGCCAATGCATAACATAGCGCTGCATGTTTCTTTTAAAGAAAAATTGGATTAACTTTAGCCACAATGCCATTTTTTAAATACTGACCATATTCAACCACGGTAATTTTTCCCCGCGGGTCACCTACTCCATTTTTTTAATATTCTCGTTAATGAGGAATAATTCCTTCTTTGTTTAACAGCGAAATGCTCAGAGCTGCTCACTTAATTTCAGATATGGCCTTTCTGGCTTATCTGATGAATAATAATTTTCATTCCCATACTCTTCATGGACCATATGTGTTTTTTCAGTTTTCCTTTTGAAGTGATACCTCAAAAGAAGATCTAAAAAAAGGGAGGACTTAATATTAATCTAGCACTGATTCCATGCATGCTGAAAGAGTGATTCAAAATTCAGCACCTCTAAATTTTTCATCATCTTAATGCTCCACCTTTTAACCTGGCTTTCCAATTAACATATAGTATAGCTCCAACAATGTATCTCTGTAATGAGTTCTCTCCTGGAGCCTGTTCCTGGCTTCGTGGTGCCTCATCTGCCCGACCGGGATATTCCCACCAAGCAATGAAACTGTTCACTACACTAACAGGAAGTCTGCAAACTTGGGACAGAGAAATATCACGGTGTTTATTTCAAAAAGGAGGAGATTATTCCTATGAGTGAGTGGAGCAAGGTCAAGATCAAACCCCTTCCACAATTCTTCACAATTTTGCAGTAATCATACCTTTTCGTCACTGGATTCTTTGCGCACGCACATAAACACGAGGAAGGAGGAACAAATAAACTGACTGAAGAAACTCTATCATCTGCCTTTTTCTTCCATAGGTGAGAAAGAGAGAAATTGGTTCTTTATTCTGTTTCTGGTCACGCACAGAATATCTTTTCTGTAGGTGTATGTATTTGAAAAACTGCCCTACAGAAGCAGAGGTGGTACAGGGATAAGCGGAGAGGTTTCTGCAACGTGCCCCTTCCTGCAGCAGAAAGCAGCTGCACCACGCACTGTGTTACCTCATCTCCCGTTTCTCCGCAGGCACAGAAAGAACAGGACGGACAATTCTGGATGACTGGAAGAGTGCTACAGTGTACTCAGCGGTGTGCAGATTTATGTTGTGCTGAACAGCACCAAATTTATCAACATAACGTACAGGGTGAGGGTCTCCGGGCTCTTCAATTCCCTGACAGCTACATCACAGCTCATGCGGAATGAGTGAGTTCTAGACCGAATTCTGTACATCTAAAAATGCTGTTCTATTGGTAGCTTTCCTAACCTTCTCTTTAGAGTAGATAAAAATTGTGTTCTGATGGAAGTATTTAACAAGAAGCCACCACTGCTGTTGGGCAGAAGCACAAAACCACTGCTCTTCCATACACATTTTGAAATTTCTAGCAATAGGTCATGCTATAACGCAAGGCTGTTGAACTGCCAGCTCCAAAACCTGTCCTGTATTTGATCTACTGATTTAGATTTCTCATTGGATATTTTTACGTAAGGAACATTTCAGAATACGTTTCCTCATTATACAAAGCGTCTAAATCAAACGTGTCAAAATTGAGTCATCTTGAGGCTCTTGGCTCCTATTTAGATACCTCAGCAAGAAGGTTTTGCAGAGGTGAATCTCAGCATTCCTGAGCAAACCCTTTATCATAGATTGGTACCAGCATTGAAAACCTTGGCCTAGATGTTTGTCCCTAGTTTTTGAAATCTATAATTTATATCTTTTGAATAAAGCATCATTCAATGGTCAAAAGATTAAAGCTACTTCTTACCACCTTTGACTTTAAACATTCATTTACTGTCCAAATTTCATTTGATGTGAGATCTTTTAAAAGTCCTGGTACTCTTAGTTCTAGCATTCAAGGCCGACAAATCTAACAGGTACGTGACATTTTCTCTGCTGGACTGACACTGTGAAACTACAACGTAGTGAGCAACAGGGAAATTGTAATATTCAAGGTTCTTGGCTATAGGCAGGAACATGCAACACAGCTGAGGAAAGAAGGGCTGCAAAGGTGACTGAAACATCTCTAACCCTTGGATAAGAAGCTGCTTCAGCCCTGCCTTCCCTCCACCCTGCAATTCCTGTGCACCACTCCTTTTCGCTTTCAACTGTAGTGATGGAAACGGCTATTAACGTGGGTGAAGAGACTCATTTCCTCCTATAGCAGCAGTTACATTAAATAATCTTTCTGTCAAGAGTAAGTTTTCGCTGGGCCGGACGATGCCTTCCCAGGGCGCGCAGAGCTGTTCTCCTGGCACGCGCCGGAAGGCTGGCTTCGGGAGCAGCATCGGAACGCAGGTCCATGAGACTCTGGACTGCGGTGCTTCCTTCCCTAACGTGCGATCCGGAGAATGGGAGAAAATCCTTTCCCTGCACCTCCCTTGGTTTGCTCTTCTTGTAACTGTTCAACAAATCATAACAGCTACAAAACTCATACAAGAAATCATCCTGCGCTCAGATTTTTCTTGTGGACATGTACCAGACTCTACCCAGCTTACAGAGTTTCATTTATTTATTGCCTTCGCTGCTCTGTTTGTGTACTGTGATATAGTAGCTGACTGAATTTACACTTGCAGTAATCAAAGATTAAGAAGCATTCATTTCTACACTAGTCCAAGGATTTAGAAGTAAGCAGGCAAAATTACTGGTAGATAAAAGTAAATGGTGATTCTTACTTTGTTGTGTATTTTCTGAAATTCCACACAAAAATTAACAGACCGATCCATTTTCAAATGTGTTAACTGATACTTCATGAACAGAATTTTATCTTTAGCCATTCCTTGAAGTCAGTGAAGTCAAACTGTTGAAGAAGCTGGCTCACAATTCAAGAACTGTTGCAAGATGGTAGCCTCAAACCACAGGATAAGCTTACTCTTAATTATCTTCCATTTCATCCGCAGATGGTACAAGAATTCTTCATGTAATACCCTGTTCCTCTCATAACGCGGTTCCTCTGAGAGCTAGCATACAAAAACTGGCTGAACCATACTTTGGCGAGTGGGTTGCTTTGTTTTATTTTACCTGAAGAGTCCAAAATTTAAAAAAAAAAAAAGACAGCTGAAAGAAGTAAACCCAACCTTTCTGTGCACTGGAAAGCACAGATTTGTGCTTGCATGTTTGGAACTTCCACGTCTGTGGACAACGAGATTTCAGACCCAGTTCTGGGGTCGTGTCACAGCAGAACAAATCAAAGCGTGAACGCAGGGATGCTGACAAAGACCAGGCTTTGTAACAGCATTTTTCTAAAGATGTAATTGCTGTTTTCATACTTTTTTGTGGGTTCAGCGCCAAGAGCGGAAAAAGGAGGACGTTTTTACCAAGCTGTGAAGACAGAGTGTTACAGAAACAAACCCTGACGTACCTAAGTAGAATGAAATCTTCTAAACTTCTGAGACTTTTATGACTAAGGTTGATCGATGCTTTCAGTTTTAAACCAAATCCTCTTATGAAGATAGTCATAGATAGATGTGCCCTTCAGGCTTGATTCATAAACTTGTCGTTTGTCAGGTCACAGGTCGTATTTTGTTATCTTTTATTCTTCACACATTTAAAGTTTAAACATGTATTCAGAGGTCGTCTTGAATTGTGAACCATTTTCTTCTTCTTTTGGGTATAATGAGAGAAAAATGAGTACGTGCAAGACAGAGAAGGCCTGGCATTTCTGAAAAAATGGGCATTACACATCAGCATTGTTTTATGTGTATGTATAAACACAACTAAAACAAGTAGGTCATGGAAAAACAACCTTGCTTTAACTGACTGTTATCAAACACGTAACCATGAAAATGACAATACAACACACCTCCCAGTCCTGGTCGCAAGCGGTTATCGTACCCATCCAGCAGACGATCCAATATTCGGGTAAACACGGTGGTGTTGTCTTTGAGTTCATCTTGTGACGAGGTTTGGCCGTAGCTGAAATACAGAGCAGTGAGCACTGAAAACTAGAAATCCACCCACCACCTCACAAAACAGCAACTCCAAAATCTCTTTAGTCTTCCTTGTACTGGCTTATGGTCACAGAAGCTCCTCCATAAAACAAGGTTGTTAGTGCTTTATAGGGTTCTTTCACTTAAACATTTTCTTCTTAAATTGTACGTTTTCTGAAAGAGCATAGAAAACCAGTGCCTCTCTATAAATGGTGAGCAAATAGAACATCAGTTCCTTAATATTCATCTGATTTTTCACCAATGGTTGTAATATTCTAATATGTGTTGCTTAGTGAAAGGCTCCTTTCTCAGCCAAAGGTAACATGTTTAATTCATAACAGTTATAAACGGTTTGCATACAAAGAAAGATACAATAATTCAGAACATTGACACTGAAGTACTGAAAATAAATGCTAAAACAAAAACAAAACAAAAAATAGAGATATCTTCTTTATGATTGTAGAAGTAAATCAAATGAGCGTGCATTTTCACAGGTCAATATGCAATTTTGCTTTAATTCCTTTCCCATTTTCCTTTCGCATTTGGATTTGCAGGATTACTTCCAACTTTTCCTTACAAATGTGTAATGAGACCATCTGTTGATGTGGAAATGTCTCTGTCTATGAAGCTTCACTTACAGATGCCTCACGCCTATATCTAACGCTGCCAAACGCCCTGAAGTTTTGCTCAAACGAGGATAAAATTAAGCTCTTTGAACCCAGCTACCAAAATCTTCCTTCCATCAATACAACTCAGAGCTAAATACCCGTGCTTAGTGGTTTCCGTCTGCTGTAGATGACACCAGAATCCACCGTTTCCTTCAACCTGAAACCTTTCCCAAGCCCCCTGTCACGGATGGTTCCCTCCATCACAGATCACAGCTGTCCCAAAGCCAAACCCCGGATCGTTTTTTCATCCGCTGCTGGGAAGACTTCCATTACAAACACACGCAGTCATCACGACTGAAAGTAAAAACACCGCTTGCGGGAGCACCGCTTCGTCGCATGCGTTGCCACGGAGCTGGATAAACAGTGCCAGCCCGAAAACTTCTGCTGGCGTCGGGTCTCGCCCCGGAGGCGACTCCTCCATCGGGCGGGCTCTTCTCCGTGCGGCCACGGCCCCGCGCGGGTCTGGGCGCTCTGCCCGGTGCTCCAGCAAAGGGGTCTTGCTAGGAACGTGCTCTTGCCCGAAATGGTTGGGTTCCTGCCTGCCAAAGCATTTTCTGTGAGCTGCATCCGTCAAGCGGCCTTTGGGTATCCCCACGCGGTTCCGCTCGTATCAAATACAGGGAGGAGGAGGAGGAGGAGGAGGAAAGGTACCCTGAAGAGAGGTCCTCTGGAAATGCCTCCAGCTTATTTTGCAGTGCAGGTCTGAGTAAGTAACGCCGCAAATTTAAAGGAGTTTCAGAACTGAAACTCACAGAAGTTTTGCTAATTCTTGTTTCAGTAGGATGTGACTCTGTAGGGGACAATTTCCAGGGCTTTTGGATCCATATAAATCACTGTTTCTAATGAAGAGGACAAAATCTCTAACAGTTTTTAAAAAGACTATGAATTTCCTCTGGCCATACCATATAATTTCACTTAATAAAAAAATAGGTTGATTTATGTTTATTTTTCATACCTACAGTTACATCTTCAGTCACAGCTTTTCTTTTCTGCTTCCTATACGTTACCAACTAACGAGTTCTCCTGCTGTCTCCAACGACCACTACCTTTCAAAGCATCATTTCTCACACGCCTTACGCAGAATTGCAGCACAGGACTCTTCACTGGGTCAAATTTTATATCCACGCTCGTTATCAGTAAACAAGCTGCTGTACAGACACATCTCAAGGGTAGCAGAAGGTCACCAGGATTAAGGTGGCAGAAGGACACAGAAACCCTTCAGAAACTGCAGCGGTAAACAAAGGGGTGCGTTGGTGGGAGAGGCGTCGGAGGGACGGGCTGGCGGCAGCGCGGCCGGGAAGGATGCAGCCCACGGGACCGCTTCCACTCGGGGCTCGGTGTCTGCCAGCCCCCTCCCCTGTGCCCCCCGCCTTCTCCTCGGAGGTGAGGGCACTGCCAGGGCTGGCTCCAGCCGACGTGGGGTCACCGCGGGAGGAAGGCCAGCCTCTGTGTACCGCCACTCCGGGGGGACTGTGGTTTTTCACTCCAGACAGACGCATTTACAATGGTGCTAATGCTGTTTTTTCATGGCAAGAAGCATGAACTGGAAAGGCTGTGTCTTTCCGTGTCGCGGGCGCTCTATCCAATTCACCAGCCGCTTCTTATCAGAAGGGATTAACAGCAGCCCAGCAGAACAGGCGAGCGAAGTCACCATGACGAAACGGCTATGGAGACAGACACGTTTCACGCAAGGTGTGTACATTTGGAGGAAGAAGTGACCGTAGGCGATGGTGTTTTCATCTTCAACCACAGTGCAATAAAAACCTGTGCACGAACTCCATCTACAGGTCATTATCATAGCCACACACCGTATCACTCCGAAACACCAGGCCAATGCGTTTTAATTCCCGCTGTAAGAATGCGCGTGCACACCTTACAGATGGAATAAATATGTGTACACATATATATGTACACACACATATATAATAATCATGCTTTCACAGAATTCTCTAGCTAGGCCAGATAAAGTACTTCATCAATACTCCAAGTCTCACATTTCTGAATATATTATCAAAATGAAGGTATTTCTTCTAAAATGTCACGTTTATTCAACACAGCAACTGTAACATGAATCACCCGCCCTTGGGGTTTTTTTTTTTTAGAGGAAATGCTTGTGCAAACGAACCTTTGCCCCCTCCACCCTGTGTAAAACCTTCCAGGCAGCCAGAAGACAAGCTTAGCCAGAGCTGCGAATGCACGAGGAGACACGATGGAGATCCAGGCACAAACGCATCTTTTAGGGATCGCTACTGGCAATATGAAATTTCTGCTGCTTCAGGTAGCGGCACTGACAGGACACCAGTATTTTTAAAATACAGAAACGCATCTGCGAGTGTTCTGAAAGACCCTTCCTGAAGCTTGAATTGCAGGGAGTGCTTCGAGTATGCTCGGAACTGCTTTACAGTTTTTAGTTAACCTACCAGTCGTTAGGTGAGGTGGTTTACGATTACGAGCTGCTCTTGATGCTGATGCTACTCCTAGGTTATAATTCCAACACGCATTCCACACACATTCGGTGCAGCCCGGTCTTTCAAACACAGTTACAGGGTTTGAGCTCACCAACCCTCCTGCAGGCGAGCAGTCTGCCCTCCCCAGGAGGGTCTACTGCGGGTCTGCAAAACCGGCTGCTAAGCCAGGACACCATCCTGACCAGCCAAGCAGCGAAAGTTTTGCCTCTGCCTGCAGGGACAATAACGTTACTAAATAGCACGCAAATGAGACTTAAAAAAATGTAATTACACTTTTTTTTCCCCTCTGAAGAACCTCGTATTGCTGAGCAGTCCTTCTATACGAGTAGAAAGGACCGCACGGGTGTTTAAGAGGTAGTTACAGTTTGTTTCAGAAAGCTTCTGCTTTTTCAACTTCACAATATTGAAAAATAGATGTTATGTAAACAAATTGTAGTTTTCTCTCAGCCTTCCCTTCGCTGGGTTTACCTGGGATTTGCACAGGGATTAACTTCCTCCAACACACTTGGTAGTGGCGCAGCCCATGCAGTGTTTGTCTTACGCAGCTACATTAAATGAAAGGGTCCTAAAATACGTTGGTGCATTAAAAAAGCTCTCCCCACCTTCTTTCCGTCAGCGCGTGCAGCAGGAGGCCCCAGGCCCAGAGGCAGTCGCAAAGCACCAGCAGTCTCTTCATGGTGGGCTCTGAAACTGGAAGGAAAAGGATCGTCAGCGTCCCCTGCATTAACACAGGTACTGTGGGGGGAAAACGGCCGATTTGGGAAACTTCTGCGGCATGATTTGACGCCAGGCAGTGACCCCACAATACCAGAGCTCACGCCATTCGGAGCGCGGCCTCGGCTGTTCTCCTGGTCGCTGCTGGACGCAGAGCTGCGGGCGGGATGGAGCTTACGGTGAGGCTGTGCTCTTGTTTGCATTGCTCTCCCAACTTCAACAAAACCATTTCTGAGTTCAAGCCGCTGGCCCCGAACTC